CAGTTACGGTTTGATTACTAATCACATATTTGAAATGTCTTGACAGCAATAACCCTAACTTATTTTTATTCTTATCGGACAAACCTGATGTTCATACACAGAGAAAAATAAGTATACATAATTGTGGTTGTACAGCTAAGTGAATGAATTCGCCGAAAAAGAGACTCTTCGCTGAACTACGTTTTTTTGTTTTCATTAATGTCTGGATGGGGATTATTCATGAATATATTATTTTCTCCGGTAGTCTAAACTGAAGGAAAACATTTAACTTGAAAATACAATACTTATTTTAAGATGCGCTATGCAAGTTCATTTCCTATTCAATAAGGAATTCTGTAGACAAACTGATAGTGTGACTATGAGTTCACCATTAGGTCCAGTTCTAGCTGACATTTTTCCTTGCGTAGCTAGTGAATGAACCACGGATAGGAGTAATCAGTGAATTGGAATTCTACTATCGATATATGGATGACACATTTCTGATTATGAAAAACAAGAATGAAGTAATCAGGATCCTCAACGAGTTCAGTGATGTGCACCCAGTAATAAAAATAACTGTCGCAGGAAGAAAGGAGTGATAGCATTTCACTCTTAGACGTCTTTCTGACTAGAAAAAAGGACGGTACATTAAGAGGGAGCGTATACAGAAAACATACAACGACATGTCAGTACAACCACTTTCTGAGTTTTGCACCTTTGAATTATATACACGCAACTTGGTAATATTTGTTACATAGAGCTAGGATAATCTGCTCAGACGACTATCTCGTATCAGACAATTACTCAGAAAAGTGGTAGTCCAGATAAGTTTATCGGTCAAAATACGAATTAGGCACCAAGACATGCCGGTATGGTAAAAGCTCCAAAATAGCCCTTGTTACTCAGTGATAACATAAGCGAAATAGTTACACAGTGCTTGAAGAATGCAGTTAAAGGAGCATTCAGTGCAGTAGAGCTATGATGTCTCTTTACAACCACTGACAAGGATATCAAAACAAGGATCGGGAAAGCAAGACAAGCTTTCATTACTCTCAAGTCTGTGTGAAGGTCAACAGCACTCAGCATCAAAATGAAAATAAGATCCTGATTTTCAACTCCAATGTGAAATCAGTGCTACTTACTATACGGATCAGAGACTTGGCGCCTCATAACGAGCATCTCAAACAAATTACAGACCTTCATCAACAGCTGCCTTCGCTCAATACTCAAGATCAGATGGCCAGAAAAGATCAGCAACAGGGATCTCTGGGAGCGAACCAATCAGGAACCGATTGTGAAACAAATAAGCAGGAGGAAATATAGACGGATTGGTCATACTCTGAGGAAACCATCGAGTGACATCACTAGACAAACCACTGCTCGAGTGGAACCCGAAAAGGAAGCGGCGAGTTGGTCGTCAGTGCAAGGGTGACTTGGAGGAGGTGATGTGAACAGGAGATGAAAGCATGTGGGCAGACTTGGAGCGGGGTGAAAAAGTTGGCAGAAAACAGAAGGCAATGGAGGTGTGCAGCTGAAGCCCTATGTTCCTCTAGGAATTAAAGGAAATAATAATGTGTGTACATTAAATTTGCGAAAAGAAAATAAAATTAGTAAGTTCCGATGAATTGGATATTGATATAAGAGGGTAGTAAGAAAAGTGAAAAGTTGTCACAAACGATTGTTAAAGAACAGTTACGTAATAACATGAATAGTTTGATGAGAGTTGTGCTTAGGGTGTACGTGGAAACAAAATAACATACGGAATTACGAAAGAGTTTTAAGTAGTTACAAAAATAAGTAAACAAGCAAAAGTTGGGTCAAATCAACAGATTTGTTACCATGATAGTAGAAGTGGTTGAATAATTTTCTTTTTTTTATGCATAGTTCTGGTTCTTTCAACGGAATGCCTAGGGCTTCTGCAATCCAATGAAGACGGAAACGTATTGTCTTTGGCAGGTTGTTCTTCACTTTGCAGATTACTTCGAAGGAGGATTTTTTGAGATGGAATGACCAGTGGTGACAAGATGTTTGATTATTGCTCTCCATGTACGACCACTACTTCCTTTCTGCAGCCACGCTGGATAGTGTTCTTTGACCCTTTTGTTTCCATGTATACCCTGAACCCAACTCTTCCAACAAGCTATTCATGCTATTACGTAACTCTTCTTTAAAAATCGTTTGTGACAACTCATTACTTTTGTTAATACCATCTTATATCAACATCCAATTCATCTGAACTTACTAATATTACTTTTACCCTACGAGTTTGTCTTCCAAATACATTTGAAGGCATCGGAATCCACCTGAAGAAGCCAGATCTGTATATATGTTCATAAGAAATTCGTGCAACCACTTTTCTTACATTGTCCATCGTTAGATGAATGTAAAAAACAGACAATTTTCCCCTCCGCCTCTAAGCCTTCTACACTTTATCATTGTCTTAATTACTTTATCATGCCAACTACTTCATCTTCGATTGCTTATTACGTAATCAATTTGTGCATTAAGCAATCCACTTGTTTAATTTTTTCAATCATTCCTACCCTTTAATTGTGTGTATTAATTTTCTTCGTTAATTATCAACCTCTCGATATGTTGATACTAACGAATAATTGTTAACAAATTTAACACCACTACTAGACTAGTAAAATTTCTGGTTTCATACTAAAAATGTTATATACATACATTAGAGTATAATCATACATGAGGATCTAATTGAAAAGTAAAAAATATATTTCTTCACTCAGTCATTTGGTCTTCTGAAATTATGTTTGTTAGAATTAATACAAAAAAAACTGACTCCTACACATTATACACAACAATTAAGAGAACAATTAAAAAAGAAGCACTCATAACCACATTACGTAATCAAGGAAATTAAGAATCCGAATGAGTCTATTTAGAATACACGATTCACGCTATATGAGTTTGAATGCAACCACTCCAACAGTATAAATATGAATATTGTATTCAAAGCGCTTTGATGTACTACTTTGAAGTGTGTATCTAAGTGGACAATTTGGCTCATCTGGTATGGAAGTAAAAGTCAGTCTAACCGAATAATATTCTTTTCAGTAATTTCTCTTCGTGTTCTTACAATTATAAAATATGGTGATATGAGATGGTTGGAGGCAATCGGTCACAGGAAGTCTTCCAACTAGGCTTCATGATAATTGACACTCATCAGTCAGCAAGAGGGATCTGCAATCTTGAAGGAACTCGTGTCCCTTCTGAGATTCGAGCCCGTGTCACCCAGTGCCGTCTGCAGTCAGAGATGTTACCACTGAGCTATTCGGGCTCACAACTGACCTCATGTAGCACTGGAATGGATACTTTCACTGGACACTAGTAACTAGTGTGATGTGTCCAGTCCTTTCTTTGGTGCAGACTGAATTCTGTCAGACATGTTCGCAATGTAGCCACCATTCTAGGTAGCTCGCCATCACGGTGCATATTGATTTGATGATGGTGGATGGTTGGAGGCAATCGGCAGGAAGCCTAGCACCTAGGCTTCGTGCTAGTTGGCACGATATATATATATATATATATATATATATATATATATATATATGTATATATGAGGCGCATACATTTTTACGTAATAAATAATAACAAGACTGCAATGAGAGGTTCATCACGAAATAACCAAAATGTGAAATGAAGCAGGTGGAGGCATATATTGAGGAAAGAGATAATATCACTTATAATAAGTCCGGATAATATAAATTGAAAATTTGATAGTATGGTGGGAACGTATAAATTATAACGAATAATAATAATTGTAATAATAAGCAAAGAAAGAAAAAAACGAAAAAAGCCAAGAGGGATAAGGGGAAAAAGAACTCTTGATATGAAAAAGAATCATTAATCCAAGTTTGACCACGGTAGGAACAGCGTCTGAACGTGTTCTATTTGGGTAAAAAGTTCCGGTTTAGTCGATTTTATTTCAACAGCTTCAGCTCTGTGTGGGAGACGTAGGCGAACTGTACGTGATAACGACTTCGGAATTCGGTATATAACCCTGAAAGCTGTGTTGACATCGATGAGATGTCCAGTATCGACGAAGTGTGACAGAATCAAGCTTTTATGCATTTAATTTCCAACTTGCTGGAAGTATCTATAAGAAGACTGTGATCACCCTTACACCTTTTTTAATGAGTGATGGGAGGGGATATGCTTGTAAGCATCTACAGATAGTCATAATTCTGCATAGTGGAGCTGTAATAGATTGGTTAAGATACAGGAAATTTCAACCAGTGAGTCATGGATTCAAACACTTATTACCGAAGCGTAAACAAACCAGTATGTGATTACATCTCTTTCACAAAATGTGTAGTTTATTGGTTATAGTTTGAACACTTGTAAAAGTGTTGAATAAAGCTATTGTTCAACTGGACTCTGAAGATGACTTCCTACATATGCATACACACAAACAGATAAGAAACTCAGTGATTTCCTCCGAATTCATTCACAATATCTCAGAGTAATGAGATTAAATAATAAAGAGATACTGTGCAGCATGTTTAGTTTTTACGCCGGGTATGATTGGACAGCTCTCCGAGAGGCTATCAGTTCAAGAAATAAGCAAATGATAATTATAGTATCAAAACGGTTATAAAGACTTTACTTCATGATTGATTCGTTAGGCTAGGCAGGATATATAAACAAATTTTTCTATGCAAAACATCCAAACCAACTACTCATCTCCGAGATGTGAGAAAAAGCTTCGATGTACACACCCCTTTTTTTTTCCTTCACGTTCCCAGTGGAACATAGGGCTTCAAGCTAGTGGCTTGAAGTTTCTATAACAGTGTTTATTTTACAGGATAGGTTGCTAGCCCCATGCCCAACGTTTCCTCTTTACCAGGATTATTTCTGGCTTAGTGAGGTTTGGGAATGTGTCGGCCGGGGATCGAACCCCGGACCATGTGCATGGTCGGCAAGCGTCCTTACCACTGTGCCACCGACGCACACCCCTTATACAAATACAAAACACCTTTATTCTAAAACGAAACACTTACTTTGAAATATTTAATTTATAAATATCTGGACAATAAATAGGAAATGACTTCAATGAATCATAATCTTTAGTTTGACTATACTCCTCTCCTGATTTACAATGTGATGCGGCTGCTGGTGTCGACGTTGTTGTTGATGGTGCTGCTGGTGCTTGTGTTGGAGATGTTGAACACGAAATGCCAGCCAATTTAGAATGAACTTTTATATTATGATCAATTTTTGCACCGAGAAGATTTAAATGCAAACTTGGAGAAATCTCCCAAAGACTGAGTAGTTTGTTAACATCTAATCAATAGAAAAAAGTGGAATAAAAAATATATGTTAAAAAATTTGGTAACTTGGTCTAAACACTTTATATAGGGGGAACTTTTACAACAACTAAGATAAGTTTTTCGAAGCTACGTGATAAATATGATGTCTCTGTGAGCAATAACGAAATATTGACAACACAATAAGAAAACGTAGTTTATCTGGGATGTGTAAACTATTTGCGCAACACGTTTCGGACATTCTGACTGCACAAACAATCATACACAGTTTTATGGAAAAGATCTATCTACAGAAAGTCAACGTGGAACGGACAGCTTACTAACTTTCACAGTTGGGTACCTCTTTACACCAAACGAAACCTGATCCGTTCACTCAGCTACAGAGTTCGCAGAATTTGTACCCCAGACACCGTAGAAGATGAACTGGACAAGAGAATCAAGAGAATCCTCGTCGAGAATTTTTATCCGGAAAGATTTATTGCAAAATCTATGAATCCTAGACCACAAAAGCTGCTCATTCTTAGCGTCCAGAAAAAAACTACTCTACATGAACCTTCAATTCAATGGAGATATATCTGCGGAAAAACTGAAAAATCGACTGTCGCGCTCACTCAAGAAGACCTTCTTCGCAGCTGAACTACGCCTAACCTTTTTCCACAAAACCTATAATTCATGTGAACGTGAAGGATAAGCTACCACTGCTGGCCTCCTTAATGGGTATTCATCAATTCATCTGCTCGTGTGGAGCCAGGTATGTTGGCCGTACCCAGCGTTCGCTTTCCAAACGTATCACCAATATGGTTTTACAAAGGAGAAAAACGATGCCCCCGCAGCTCCATCTTAGAACATTTAATAGAATCCGGACACCAAGCTACACCCCAAACAAACTTCAAAGTCGTCTACAGAGTAAGAAGTAGTCTTCCTAAAGGTGTACGAATCAGACTTCTTTAAACTGCAGAAGCAATGGCGATTCACTTGCTAAGCCCTGAACTCTGCATACAGAAGAAGTTCGTTCAATCACTACACTTACAATGGACTTAATTTATCTTATTATCTGACAAGTAAATTCTAACTAATCTTTTTTTCTATCTCTTCATTGGTATTATTTTGTCTTCTCAACTGTAATATTTTACATTTTCAACTTGTTCTCTACCTCCACTCGATTTACTTTCTACACCTCTCTACCACTGTTAATGACTTGGCCAACGCTCATTTTCTAGTCATTTATGCTACGTCAAACAACTTATTTGCTTAATTTCAGTTCAAACTTAAATGGCATTATTATCTACCCCACTTCTACTTCCTCTCTACATGTAATTACCTCTGTTGCTACCCTGACCTAAGTTAAAACATTTTAGTGAATTATATTACGTCATCTAACTTACTAACTCAATTTTACTTTAGTTGCTGTCTGATAAACCTTGTTTCTATATTAGATCATTTTTTTATTACCTGATCAATTATCTAAACTTGACAAACCTCATGTGCACACACACACAAATAATTATATATAAATGCGATTGTACAGCCATGTGAATGAATTCGCTGTCGAAAAGAGTCTCTTCGCTGAACGTCTCCTCTTTTTCATAGTTCTATGGAAGACAAGAAGGCATGAATCATTACAATGCAGGTCAGATTGTGTACAGTTCAAGGTCACAAATAACGGGTAGGTGATATATATCCATATAATGTGTGTGTTGTTGACATGTCTGCTATATTTTGCTATGTATATATGGATCGATACTCCATTATAATTAGCCAATCGTGTTAAGACTGTCTATTGATTGTTCACACACTTCTTCGGACATTCATATATATTTTTTTGCTCTCACACTCTTGTGTGACTTTGATTCTCCTTGTGTTTGGAAAATAGAAGTGTCATCGCAAACCTAGTGGTCGTCTGATTTCCGTCTTTCTTGCGTCAGGACTATTAAATTCTCGACCAGTACATAACAATAATTTGGCGACGAGTACATAATAGTAGGGAAATGACGCAAACGTGTGGGTATGAAAGAAAAAACAAAAACAAAGAAGGGGTTGAAAATATTATGCAGTGAGTTGAACCTTGGTTCTAAATTGAACATATTAGACAGGTTTAAATCTTTTTATGACTTAAGTTTCAACCAATTTAAGTATGTGACTCAACTTGGTTTTGTATATGGGTTTACAGGTATTATTGAAATCAACCTTATGACCCGTCTCTATAAATGTGCTTCGCTACAGATGATGTTGGACATCTACTTCCGGGATCAATTGTATCTGGCGATTTTATTTGTTGCATGTTCTGTAGCCCTAACCTGCAGAGAGCGATGAGTCCTTCCTATGTATGTGTGTCCACACATATATGTAAATTGATAAACACAATGGGATGTGACACACTATCGTTCGGATACTGTGAGAGTTTATACAGGACAGATAAACTACGTTTTCTTATTGTATTGTCGAAATTCATAAATGGAGCTAATTGTTTTAAATAAACAAAAAGTTGAAAAGTCATTCATTAAACATTACGGTATCACATGCGAGTTCTACCTTCATACTCGATTAAAACAATCGAATTGAAAATGAATTACAATCACACTTCATCTGTACTGACTTGAGCGCTAAGTTGAGTGTGTACATACGCGTTATATCCAATATGGAATGCTATTTTCATTCTCTGTGTGTGTACACTACACGCAAGTTCAATCATTTGCAGAATGAAACAACAAAAACAATAGAAACAACAATAACAACTTTTAGTGTCAATGAAAGTCAGCTAACCTTTATGAAAGTATACATAAACAAATAATTACTTCAAGGCGTATAAAATATGACATAGATATTACTGAATTTGGTTAGCGTGAATTGAATTTTACACATGATTTTATTCCTGTTCTAATCAATTATTACCTTTAAATGAAATTATGGTGTCAAATTCTATATAGTGTAAGAACTAACAAAGCCTTTGATTCTGATCATGGAACAGTTTGCAATCTCTATCTTACAAGAGGTAGTTTTTCAGTCCTGCTCCATGGTCTTAATTCAAAAGTACGACACAAACAGTACTGATACGCTGTGTGATTAGCCAAGCAGTGTATTATCATTTATTATTATTATTCCCTTGGGTTCTGAGTGAAACATAGGGCCTCAAGAACACATCTCTTCAGCTCAGCCCACGGCTGCCCATGATCTCTCATCTTCTCCTCCAATTCACACGGTCTCCTCCATGTCACGCTCACACTGACGACTTACTTGTCGCATCCCATTCAGGTTCCACTCGAGCGATGGCATGCATTGTATGCAATGTTATTTGACGGCCTCCTCAACGTATGCCAGATCCATCTCCACTGTATTCTACATATTTGTTGAGCAGTCGGCTCTTGTTCGGTTGGTCCGTTCAACACCAACCATTGTTTCTTGTTGCTAATTCTTTGTAGCTGGCTGGCCAGCCATCAGATCTTCAGTATGGAGCCAGCCAGCCAGCCAGCCGGCGAAGGTGGCAGCTGTTGATAAAAGTCTGTAACAGGATGTTGGAAATGCTTTCTGTAACGCGCAGTGCAGTGTAGAAGCAATGACTGACTGACTGACTGACTTCAAATTTGTGTTGAACAGAATCCGAATATTGTTCTTTATGCTGACTTGAGTGAATGAAGCAGAAGATTTCCCAACTGGTTTCAGATTGACGAAGGCGTATCTTGCTTTTCCAATTCTGACTGGCCTTAACATCTTCATCCATTCCGCCTGTAGTTGAGACGATTCTGGCTGACTAGATAAGTGAAGGAAGTAACCTGTCTCAGATTTCTTCCGTTGACAGTCAAGTATAAACACATTCCAAATACTGAAGCGTATGGTGATTACTATGATGATTTTGACTTTAGATGCCTGAAGTTATTATTATTTCCTTTAATTCCTAGAGGAACATAGGGCTTCAGCTGCACACCTCCATTGCCTTCTGTTTTCTGCCAACTTTTTCACCCCGCTCCAAGTCTGCCCACATGCTTTCATCTCCTCTTCACATCACCTCCTCCAAGTCACCCTTGCACTGACGACCAACTCGCCGCTTCCTTTTCGGGTTCCACTCGAGCAGTGGTTTGTCTAGTGATGTCACTCGATGGTTTCCTCAGAGTATGGCCAATCCGTCTACATTTCTTCCTGTTTATTTGTTTCACAATCGGTTCCTGGTTGATTCGCTCATTTCCAGAGAACCCTGTTGCTGATCTTTTCTGGCCATCTGATCTTGAGTATTGAGCGAAGGCAGCTGTTGATGAAGGTCTGTAATTTGTTTAAGGTACTCTTTATGACGCGCCAAGTCTCTGATCCGTATAGTAAGTAGCACTGATTTCACATTGGAGTTGAAAATCAGGATCTTATTTTTGATGCTGAGTGCTGTTGACCTCCACACAGACTTGGTGAGGGTAATGAAAGCTTGTCTTGCTTTTCCGATTCTGGCTTTGAAATCCTCGTCAGTTCCGCCTGTAGTTGAAACGATGCTTCCCAGGTAGGTAAAGGAGGGTGTTTCTTTCAGGTTCCTCCCATTTATGCTGGCTGATTGCTGTCTGTTGTTGTTGCTGTCGCTGTTGCTGTTGGCCAGGAATCTTCATCACCTAACTGTGTTTTATCTATGTTCACCTGAAGTCCTGTCTTTGATGCTTCTTCTGCCAGCTTGTTGCTTTTCACTTGCATACCTTCCAGTTTGTATGAAATCAGACGTATATCATCGGCGAAGTCCAGATCCTCCAAGTTTTTTGTGTGAGTCCATTTTATGCCTTTTTGCTCCCTGCTCGTTGTGTGTCGCATTATCCAATGTACTGTAATCAGGAAAATCATTGGCGATAGTAGGCAGTCAGCTAGCCTTGTCTTACTCCCGTTTTCACTTCGAAGGCTTCCGTAAGTTTCCCGTTGTGGATTACTTGGCATGCAGCATTGTCGTGCAACTGTTGGATGAGATGTATAACTGTCGGCGTCACCCCTTGGAAGTAGCGAAGTAGTTGCCAAATCACCTCCCGATCGATGCTGTCTAAGACCTTTTCAAAATCGATGAAGCTGAGATGGAGAGGCGACTGCCATTCCAAGGTTTGTTCAATGATGATCCGTAGTGTGGCGATTTGATCAATACATGACTTGTTTCTCTTGAATCCAGCCTGTTCCGGTCGAAGGTTTTAATCCAGGACAGCGTGTTTGATTCTCTCTAGGATGATGCGGCTCAGTATTTTGCTTGGGATGGACAGAAGCATAATTCCGCGCCAGTTCTTCTATTCAAATTAATCTAATCTACGTACATACTCCCATACTTTACTAGCATACTTCATTAATCTGTTATCTTTTTTAAAAAACAATTAACTTTGAGTAATTACCTAAGTAGTAACCATACAGATATAATGATAATAATAATAACCAACAACTTACTTTCATGATTTATTAATCTATAACTGAAAGAATGCTGAGATATATTTGCTAAAAAATTAGCAACTAATAGATGAACTGGATACTCTGGATGAGCTGTAGGCACACCCCCACCCCCACCACCACTATTGACAACTTCTGGAATTGATGATTCAGGTCTTGAATTGTCTGGATTACAAGAACGATTTGTCAATTCGCCTCCATCGAATAAAAGTTGATTCACTGACGGTGGATTACTGTGTGTTTCAAGCAAACTATCATCTGATTTAGTTAAAGCAGTTAAACTGATTACTGTAAGCCAATCGATTAACTTTTCAAAATGTTCATTTTCATAGAGTAGATCAAGAAATTTTACATCCTGAATTGTGAATAAAAGAACGTAAAGGAAGGAAGGAAATGTATTCACAAAATCAAAAAAAAAAAATGGTAGAAGTTGACAAGTTTTTATTTCATAAACACGTTAATCACAAAGCATTGTAGAGTGCATAGGTTTTCACATGATTCCATACAATATGCGTATTTAATCAGTGTTACGTAAACATACATGTCTGCGCATACATGAAAACAATTTTGACAGAGAAAACTAAAAGTTACTAGCTAACACTATACAACAACCAGAACAACAGTAAACTACAACTATTTACATGTAAGTCAACTACTAACACAACTTTCACAATGAAGGAGTACCTTAGCAACCATTAATATATAGGGAATGACTAAAACTAAAATGGATTTAATTCCTAGCTCAACACTTTCAATGGTTAAGTAGGTCACATCGACCTGTGAAGAAAGCTGCCTTGAAATCAATCAAAGTTTTGTGACGAGGAAGTTAATTAAACTGCCTCGAAAGTTCATAAGGTTTTATCAGACTAGTAGGTCCTACAGAAACGCTGAGTATATCAAAGAACATGGTGAACACATGAACATGATTAAAAAATTATACTAACGACCTATAACGGTCGAAGACGAAAGACTCAATTAAAGGATTTAGTATCTTGACATAACCAAATTAAGTACCCTTTATCTTCAACGCATCATTTACCCAGATAGTCCATGTTGTTCTACTTTTCTCTCTCTCATATTGTATTTCTTTATGTTCCTTTCCCGTCTCCCATGTACCTCGGTGACGCTGTGTCATTAGCTTTCTATGATATCAAATCTGTCACTTTGCCATTTGATGTTGTTTTATGCTGACGAGTGCCTCTTTATATACTACTGATAAATCTTATCAGTAGCACTCGTGACACTTGTCCGCCACCAAATAATTTCGAACAGAGCCGCTCCGACCTTCTTGGTTCTACCCTTTCTTGTTGTGACTTCGTCCGAGCTTCCTTATTCCACTGAAACCACTCCTGCAGTTGGCTATTGTCAACCCATCTCTGTATACTTCCTCTTTTGACGGTATAAACGGGACCACATCTCTCAATGACAGTGTTTGGCCCTTCCCACTTCGGGAGGAGTTTTTGTAAACCTGACCCACATCCGGCTGCCTCATTTTTCTCTCAACACTTCACTCGATCGCCAACCTCAAAGGTTATGCATTCTTCTTTCCTCCCTGTTCTGATTTCATGGCGTCTTTATCCTGTTTACGCTTCACATCCCTGACGGCAGCTTTCCGTTGCATTCGCAGCCTCGTCATATTCCAATTCTGATGGAGGGACCAGGTTGTGTATTGGTAGTCGTGGTTTCCTCCCATACATCAAATGAAATTGTGACTTATTTGTTATTTCCTGGGTTATGCTAGTAGAATCAATGGAAGCTCTGTCTCCCAGTTACCCCCTTCTAGATCAGCCACTCCTTCAGTGTACGGTTATTTCTCCCTGTAAGACCGTTCGTTTGTAGATATGGTGATGTTCTGATCTTCTTGATATCCAGCTATTGCAAACGGTAGTAAATTCTTCATTTTCAAAAGGGACACTGATCTGTCAGTATCGTCTTTGGGACACCATGGTCTGCAACGATGTGTCAAACTACCGCGTCAGTCACAGTTCTCGAGCATTGATCATGGATCGGGAATGCATCTACCCATCGTGTAGAGTGTTTCGTCACCACCAAGAGGTATTGATTGCCACTGGATGTCTGTGATTAAGGACCCATAACATTAACAGGCCAGAAGTGACTGGAATTGACTGCAGAGGTGGTCGTATGCACCAATCTCCTTTCACCATATGATACTGCGATCATCGGAGTACATATTTTGCTACATCTTTCATACCTACCCAGTACATGCTTTGTCTCAAGAGGTCAGTTGTTCTGCATACTTCTGTATGTGCTAGCTGGTGACATTCTTGCATCACCTCATGTCGTAGAGACTGAGGTATTACTGCAAACAAGCTTCCATCGTTCTCTCGCAAAGTCAGAGTTTCGTAGGCGTCCAATCTTAATCGATCCTTCTGTCTGAGTAGCATAGTCAGTTCCTTACTAGCCATAGGTCGATTCACTTCTATTCCGTCAGTAAACACTTGTATGACTGAATTCAGGGTACAGTTCGATTTCTAACTGTGGGCAAGTCTTAATGGGTCTTGTTCCAATGGATGCACTCCGTAATCAATCTCCGGTAACTTAGCTTCGTCTTCGGGTCCAGATAAAAAATCTGCCAAAAAATTTTCTTTGCCAGGGACGTATGAGATCTTGAAGTCATACTCCTGCAAGCGGAACATTCATCGTGACAGTTTCCCACGACGGTCTCTCACTGTCCTAAGAAACTGAACCATGGGTGTACAATTCGAGTTTGACAACACTCTTTACCAACAAATAGATGGTGTAGCTATGGGCAGTCCACTTAGCCCCGTTTTAGCAGATATCTTCATGTCAAACTGTTATGTACTCGTCGCCAAATTATTGCTATGTACTGGTCGAAAATTTAATAGTCCTGACGCAAGAAAGACGGAAATCAGAAGACCACTAGGTTTGCGATGATACTTCTATTTTCCAAACACAAGGAGAAGCAATAAATGGTATCACACCAAAGTAAGTAGTCACAAGATTGTGAGAACGAAATATATATATGACCGTCCAGACAAGTGTGTGAACAAATCAATAGACAGTCTTAACATGATTGGCTAATTATAATGGAGTGTCGATCCATATATGCATAGCGAATATAGCAGACATGTCAACAACCACACATATAATATGGACATATGTCACTAAGCAACGGACTGTCAACAAACACTCATATTATATATAATATAATATAAGGAGAATATACATTGTTAAAGGAGACAGGTTCATCAAAGTGAAATGGTCACAGACTAAGCGAGCAAACAGAAAGAGAGACCACCATATATATATATATATATATATATATATATATATATATATATATACATATCACAAACCTTGAAGAAACAAAGCTGAAGCATGCAATTGATCAAACAACTTCCTATTGTCGATATGTGGATGACACATTTGTAGTATGCAACAACGAAAGTCATGCCTCCTAGCTACTCAGACTATTCAACAACGCACATACAAATATTGTATTTACTATGGAACATGAAAATGATGGACAGTTCCATTTCCTTGACGTCGCCATAAAACGCCTAGAAGATGGTAGTCTCCAGAGGTCAATCTAACGAAAGCCCACATGGAATGGACAATACTTACATTTTAATAGTTTTTGTCCAAATAGCTATAAAAGAGCATTAGTCAAGACTTTGTACTATAGAACGAGGAGAATATGCTCTGCAGAGAAACTAGAGGAAGAATTTACGAATCTCGAAAAGGTGTTGAAACGCAACGGCTATCCTCAAAGATTCATTAACAAATATGGAAGACGTGAAGGCTCAAATACCAAACAAATCACAGTTGAAAAAATGCCTGTCTTCATTCAACTAGATTTTAAAGGTGAAGACATTGCAGAAATGGTCAACAGAATACTGAGGACGTCACTAGCCAGAGCCTATCCTGCAGCTAAGTTGGTTCCCGTCCATCGAACAACATGCTCTTTGGTACAGTCAAAAGTCAATAGATACCCTTCTCATGTTAACTCCAACTGTGTATACAAATTTACGTGTATCTGCGGGAGCAGTTACATTGGGAGAACAGAAAGAACGGCACACCTCCGATTTTCTGAACATGTACCGAAAAGACTACGTCTCAAGGGAACAAACTCGTATAGCAGCGCTATTACCAGACATCTCCTCGACACAGGTCATGAGGTGGAAATCGAGAAATCCTTCAAAATTATCAATAGACAAAGGAGCTCCGTTCTCCTCAAGTTTGCCGAAGCAATTTCTATCAAACGCTTGAAACCAGATCTATGTGTTCAGAAAGAATCAGTTATTAGTCTTTCCTTGCCTTGGTAACTGGATGTCTTTTTTCTCCCATCTGATTGCGTAATCTTTGTCTTTAACCTCACCCTCTTTTATATTCTGTAATTTTGCTTGTCTCTTGTTTCTATGATTTGAGTTCAACTCAGTGCATTGTTACCTAACTTATTAGTCACCATGCATCTAACGCACATCTCATCTTTATTATGTAACTCCCTTACCATTATATGCATACATTTATTTTGTTTTAACTTGAACTGCCCATGTAAAAACTATATAAGCGCAATTTTCTGAGCACTGTTTACTAATTGTGGAACTTTCAGTCGACTGACATCATGAAAAATTTGCAAATATGTTAAAACGTTTCTGTACTCAAACCTCAAAATTTATTTAGGCTGTAAGCAGATGATGAGAGGCCAACGAAATAAATGATGGTACCATGTTATTCTGCACAAACCACTGTTGTTCTCGCTTTATTCAGAAACTGTAGCGGTTTGTGATCAGTTTCGATGTGGAACCGTTGGCCGAATAAATACAGTCACTATTTATCTATCACCCACACTATCGCTAAACATTCGTTCTCTATTGTTGAATACTTCTGCACTGTGTGTGTGTGTGTTAAAACACGACTGGCATATTCGAAAACTGCTTCATCCTTTCTAAGTACTGTGCCTATTTATTTATTCATTTTTTTGATTACAGCTTGATTTCACACCGTATTTTTGGTACATGTATGGAGTTTTCAGCATGGATATCGGTAGCCCAAATTTTGCAGGCCGACCATAGATACCAGGTGTGCGTCGATAGGAGATCGAACCTCGGACCATGTGCATAGTCGGCCAGAGTCCTAACCACTGACGCACTGATGCCAATGAACACCTCTCTCTATACTACTGATAAGTCTTATCAGTAGCACATTCCATAGATCAATCGAAATGCAGTCTGCATGCAATATGATACTCAGAATAAACATCAGGCTATAAACGAAAAAAAACACAACTTACCTTACTGTAGGAGACTAAAAGTTGTAGTAAGTAATCTGTGGTAACTTTTGGATATTTACTCAAAGACAATAGTCGACTTCTTCGTTTATTAGGAGAACAAGCAGTATCTGAAACCAACCCGGCCTAAAATAACATAGGATAAGAAATAAACATAAAATGGTTATTATTATTATTATTATTCAGCATTAATAACGGAAACAAACACTGAAGGATAAAGTGAATACACGCCAAATTGTCTGTTTTGGATCTTTTATAAAGGTAAACTGGAAGTGTGGCTCATAGTGTTGGATGGCAGCCTTCTACTAGCACAACTAGATGATATTACAAGCAACATAAACAAGCAAAATAAACCCATACTGCATCGATGAGTTATACTGTAAGCATTTAATTCAAATATCTGAAATGTTTAAAAAGGTAGCACTTGGTCAAAACGAACAGTGGAGTAAACCGGTTAAATTTGATGTCAAAAAAATGTATTCACAAATGTAAAATTCAATTTATATGCAAAATGGACACATGAAAAAAAATGATGGCCTATGATGGACTAAAAGTAGTGAAAAAAAAATAATCAATAAACATAAAAAGAGAAGAATATTAGTATGGATAAACGTTAAAAGAATGTTTGCAGGATTTCATCATGAGCTGACATTAGTTGGAGAACCATTGGAAAACCTGAGAGGAGTACTGGACAGCTGTTTCGTCCTAGTTTGGGACTCTTCATCAGTACGCACTCACTACCACAGTTCGGACCCAGGACCTTCTGGTTACAAGGCGAGCTCGTATACCATTAGGCCACTGGGACCCGATCGAATGGCCCATGAATTCTAAATTCTGCCAATTCATGAAATAGCGCGACCCCTAGCCACTCATGATGAAATCCTGTAACCAATCAAATCCCTACAAACCAACACTTGAATATTAAAGGAATGTGTTTATGATAATAGTCATAATAAAAATAATAAGTAGGGTTTACACAATTGTATGAAATTTCAAGTGTAATACTGTGCGTCGGTGGCACAGTGGTTAGGACTTTCGCCGACCATGCATATGGTCCGAGGTTCGATCCCCTCCCGATGCACACCCGATATCTATGGTCGGCCTGCAAAATTTGGGCTACCGATATCCATGCTGAAAATTCGATACTTGTACCAAAAATAAGGTGTGAAATCAAGCTGTAACCAAAAAAATAAATAAAATTTCAAGTGTAATACTGAAAATGAAAATTTGGTCAAATCCGTTTACATAGGGATAAACATAATGCTGAGAAGATTAATACGACGAACAATAACCGGCATGGATACTTCAAAAGTCATAATTCATGAGTACACCTCAAGTCATGGTTGAAGAGCCCTTACCACAATCCGACAGTAGAGAATGGATATGAAAAAGATAATAAAACGAAGTTTAAAAACATCCAAGTAATTTAAGGGGACTTGCTCAACGGGCAATGTTAACTGACATAGGGTCAGGCTGAAAAAGAGCTAGCGGTAGTCAATGAAATCCACAACAGTTAGTTTAAGCCATGTCGGAAGATGTAGACTTCCTGGTTGGGGTCCTCAGGACGATAAACACCAATGAAGGCTGGAGACAATTGGTGATATGGCTCAAAATCGTTCTCAATGGCTGGGAAGATGCATCCACTCCTTGTGACTTGTGATTTCCAATGGAACTATATTGTTCTTCGTTATTACTATTCCTTTGATTCACACCTCTGTTCACTGTCTCTACTATGCATTCCTTGTACTTTCTTCTGTTGCTTTGTGTGCTACATGGAGTGTGGCGACTTGAACTGTTGCACATCGGTGCAAAGTTCTATGTTGAAAACAGACAGACAGACAAGGGGACTGGAAAATGCCTTCTTAGGACACGAAAATATTGGTGATATGGCTGGCTCAAAATCATCCTCAGTGGCACAAATCTATTAAAGTCTCTCACGTTTCTCCATGTTACTCTTCTTTGTCCTGTACATTTCCATTCACTGCAGTTCTCTGGAATCTCTTCTGCTCTTTTCTTTCTACCTTTGTGTGCTACACACAAAATATGGCAACTTTAATTACTGCATTTCCGTGCAAAGTTGTTCGTTGGAATTAGATCAGTCAGTCAGAAGACTGAACGTGATAAACCACTATTGTTTTACAACAGGACCCTATTCGCCAGTACCTCTTTTTATTGACTGTAGAAAAAGTGACATCTTAATCGACTGAAGAAAGACATCTACTGACAAAAAGGCCTTATCATTTCTTATTTAATTTATAATAAATGGTATGAAAGTTCTAGAATAATTTCTGGTCAAGGGTCAGATTAATAGAATCACAATTAGGAATTAATATGCCATAATAAACAGGGGACGAATAAAGCTCAAAAAAAGTAGCATCATAATTACTGACAAGATTGAAATTTTGTGCAACTAGGGGTTAGAAATGTTCAACCATTGTCCCTGCCGTGGCCATCATAAACAGGTAATTCTTCTAATAGTGACTATCCCATTGACTTTCTTATCCAAACTTCCTGTTTATTCATGTTATTTTAAGTTTTTCTTAATCCCTATTCACACTACTATATTTTCATATCCAAACTTCCAGTCTATTTTGTTATTTTATTATTTCTACATATTTAATCCCTGATTGCATAAACAATTATTAGCCACATTATTTATGGTCCCATTAGATTTTTTATCCAAACAACCTGTCTATTGTTGTTATTTCTATATTTCTAACCCCTAATTGCACAATATGTCAATCTTCTTAGTAATTATGATGCTACTTTGTTTGAGCTTTATTCATCCCCCTGTTTATTATGGCATTTTAATTCCTAATTGTAATTTTATTTAATTATAGCTTGATTCTATACAGTATTTTGGTACAAGTATGGAATTTCCAGCATGGATATCGGTAGCCTAAATTTAGCAGGCCGACCATCGATATCAGGTGTGCGTCGGCAGGATATTGAACCCCGGACCAAGTGCATGGTCGGTAAGCGTCCTAACCGCTGTGCCACCAACTTAAAGAACAAGTAATAGGTTGAAGTCTTCAAGCCTACTGTGATAAAACATTTACAATCGAATATCTAAACCACGTGATCACAAATAAGTTACAGATCATTTTTACTACTGACTGTAAGATCGAAACCTTTTAGACACAGCTTTGTGAAGTGTTTATTAACTCATTTAAATTATTCTCATTCAAATCATTGTCGGCTACCACTTTAGAACATTCTGTCAGTACATTTATAAAAATAATTTATTCATTGAAAGCAGACTAACAACCTTAAAAAATAAGGTGTAATATTCGAGATTTCTCAATGTACTGTGGATGTGCAGACGCATATCAATTAAGTGTTGTGAAATGATCTGAGATAGTAGCTTTTTAAGGACAGTAAAAATGCTGTATGCATAATGACCGAATGCTGAAACATGGTTCATCTGTTACACCCATATTCCAGACAGAGACAGACATAAGTGTATATCTAACCATAACAACAACAACATATTGAGTAATTTATTGTTATCGGTCGAAGAATAGATGGTTTGAATATTAAATGAATCAGAAATACGAAAAACGAAAGTGCAGATATGTCTACTGAATATCAGAGACAAAATGAAAGATTTTTTAAATTTTATTTAGATAGAGTTACTTTACATTTAACCTATATGTGCTAAAACTATCAATGTAGAATCAAGACTACTATACGGATAGATACAATGTTTAGATGACCATATCATAAAATACTCTGCAACAAAAGATTATACCTTGAATCTAACCTTTTTTGTCCCTTGTTACTTCCGCAGCTGCTTTCTCAGTTTCATATAAATTATCAATACTTTTCCAGAATACATCACCCTAAATGCTACTTACATCCTTTGTTATAAGTAGTACACACCACATTCGTAATACCAGTCTCTTTTTTTAATACTTTTAACCCTTTTACCTAGTATAGATTTTACTAAGATATGCTAAGCTATGAACTATACTTCATATGTATTGACATGTAACACACCTTTACAACTGTTCAGACAGAAATAGAAAGTCAGTACATGAAAAGTAGTACAAAGGTGCTACAGGAACCACTTTTGACTGCAGAGGTTTGGCACCACTAACCACCAATGAGCGAATGACCTTGAACGCACCAATCTTGTGAATGAGGCATTTTCGTGTATGGAATACAGAGGATACCTTGCTCTCACATGTGACAAAAATAGGGTGAAGTTCAACAACAGCGTCCCAGGAGTACAAAAGCCCCAATAACTTTTAACGCGTGCTTATCGTTGACTGTCAGTTTTAGAGTATCAGCAAAGTACAATTCCATTGTGGGTAAAATTTATTTTGATAAAGTCTCATGGTGTAATGCAGAAATATTTTGTGAGCAATAAATTCTGCTCGAAACGTCATCAGTAAGTATGACTGTATAACACTGTGAGACTTTATCAAAATAAATGTTACCCACAATGGAATCATACTCTGCCACTGTGCACAAGTTCTATTCTTATATCAACAGAGTAATTTAACCACATTCTATGCATGTAATTATTTAGGCCTTCTAAACCTAACACTAATCCTAATCTTTCCTGAACCTATCCGTAATGTGAAAATATTCCTAAAATAACTGTAATCTAACTCGAACCAACCCTAACACCACCTTTCTTAGGTTAATCTAACCCAAACTTGTCCTTGACTTCGATGAACATTTTTTAATAATGATGACAACATTATTTGTCAGGTTTCACTACCTGGCTCAGTGAGCGTTTCAAGGTCATCGGTGCGGTGGCACTCCAGTGGTAATCACTGGTACTTAAGTTTAACTTGGCCAGAGGTTTCGAACTTCACTGGCTAATTTACTTGTTCTCGATAAGACTCCTTTTTTAACCTCGGCAATATTTCAGTTAACAACTTTAATACAAGCTGGTCGTCGCTAAATACATATGTTTTACACTGAATTGGATATATTTAAATTACAAAAAGGTAATTATTTTATTATTATTGTCTCCTTTAGTTCCCAGAGGAACATAGGGCTTTAGCCGCACGCCTGCATTGCATTCGGTTCTCCGACGACGTTTACACCTGGCTCCACGTCTGCCCACATGCTTTCATCTCCTCCTCGCATGACTTCCTCTATGTCACCCTCGC